TCTGCAGGACACCGGCCCTCCAGGACCGAGTTTGGAGGCCCCTGAACTAGATGCTTGGTATTTAATAAAATGTTTACACTGATTTTATGTCAACTCTACTTTTCATCAAGGCCTATGTTGTAAAATTTCCAAATGACAGAGATGTACTGTGCACCTTTTAGGTCCTTGAGTCCAACAGAGCACCTATCAAAGTGGGTCATGCTGACACATAAAGAGATTGTCTGATGCTAGTGTTGATACTGATATGGGTTTTTAATGGTATACCAACTGAATGATAGCTAATAAGATATATAGGCCTGTATAATTTAAAAGACACAAAAAAGTGTATTATGTAGTAAAATTATATATGTAGGAGAGTCTGGCGAGTTGTCACACATCAAACAAAAAGTAATAATGCTACTATTAATAATTACTTAAATATGAATCAAACATTTCTTCCATTACCCATGAAAAGACTGAACATGCTTACATTTTGTGACAACATGCCCCAATAACGTTATTATATTGTTGACCCTTATCTTAATGTAGTCTATGCTATTGTGCTTACAGTTTGTTCACTTAACCAACAGCTATAGCATATGTCAAATGTGGCAGTATGAAATTTTACTTTGATGGACGGAATTCACAAAAACATAATTTAACAGGGGATTAAACTAGGTGTTTGAAATCATGTAGAAGGCACTTCTGAAGAAACAAGCGTTTGTGACAACTAGCCCCGGCTCCCCTATAACAAGATGTATAGACTTTATACATTAGCTCTTTATATTTTTATTTTAGCTGTATTTTGCAAATCCATTAAGTGGATCAGAATCATGACTTTGACCTTGTTCAACAAGCTCGAGAAACATTCTTTCTGGTTCTGTCTTTGTTGAGCGCAAAAGGGGCGGAGTCTATCATCGCTATATTATCAGCAGGCTGGCTGACGGGCTGTGTGGTGAACACGGTGCTCGGCTGCGTCCGCCAGCCCTTTCGGGAATTATATGTTTTTACACTTTTAGTCGTTCTAGAAGGGGTTATTTCTCTCCAACTTCAGCTACAGTGATAGCTAAGTTTGGAGAGGAGAGAAGGGAAATATTCGTGTTTTTGCGCAGGAAATATTTGCAGTGAGGATTTACTTTTGCCGTTGAACCCGAACAATACAAAGGTACTAAAATCCTGACAAATACAATCGATATTCAACGCACAATGGACAGAACTGCATCTAAACACCCTTGCTGTGGTAAGTGGTTTACGAATTCGTCTGCAGTAGAATGCTGGGAGGTATAAGAAGAAAATAATAAATAACCTTGCACTTGCATTTCTGTCTCTTCAGAAAGATTTAGCGAATTCTTCAAGTCTGCGAAATTCCTCATTTACCTTGGACATGCCTTGTCAACATGGGTAAGAGTCTCTTTGCATTAGGATCTGTTTTTGACAGATCGTTCTTCTTTGAAGAACAGGGACCTATATATATTTATTTGCATATGTTGCATACATGTCATTATATTTGCTTTTGCATTTTATTCATATTATTTTTATTTTGTATTTGTATTTTAGATTTTTTACACACACACACACACACACACACACA